CCCCTTTTGGTTTTGAAGTCATCTTGTAGGTTATGATCCTGCATCTTATATAATTTTTTCTTCACATTATAAATTGTTGTTTAGTTCGAGTGCGCAAACAGTTTTCATATTTATTCACCTTTAGTTTGACTTTGTTTACATTTTTTTTTTTTTAAGTTTAATATTTAGAAAATAAATATAGGATCAAATATCTGTACAGTGCATGTATTGCTTAATATTTTACAATGGATGTTAAGAATATATTTTTATGTAAGAATAAGATAAATATTCCCATCTCCAAAACAACTTCACATAGTTTTGTGTGTCATGATGATTGGGCCAGAAAACCTGTGATTTTTAGCCATGATGAGTTACTACATATTGGTATATTTTGGCACAAAACAAAAGCACTAAAACCAGGGCAACATGACAATGATAGACCACCAATTAAGGCGACATATGCAAGACACAACTAGGCGGGTGCATCAAGGATGGTAAAGCAAGGCAGCAATAAGAAATCATGTGAGCTTCAAATGATCACAACCAACATGTGCGAACCGTTAGTGGGAGAATTCTAGAAGATCAGCAGCAACTATAAGAAGCAAGAAAGGAGCAATAAAAGGCAGGAAGAATCTAGCAAACCTGAGGAGAGAATGAGCCTCTCGAATAGCTCATATATCTTGTAATTTTTCTTTTTTTAAGCTACCGTCGATTGTAATCTATCATTTGAATTCAATCAAATTTTCCTAGTACCGTTCTTCATTTAAGCCTCAATTTATCCTTCCCAGACTTCTTCTTATCATTTTGGTATCAGAGCACTTTCCTGGAGATGACACTAGCCGATCGCATGGGAATTATTGAGGGTTGAATGGAAGAAATGCAGCAAGGGTTACAAATTGGGCTCGACGCCTTGCGATCGGATTTGCGGAGACAAATGTCTCCTGTAATGGAAAAGTTCAAATGGATGATGGCCAAGTGAGAGGAACAGTAGAGAGAATGGAAAGGGGAGATGGACGAAGGGGTACGGGCACCGGAAATGACTCCCTGTTCACAAAATAGCCCTAAACTGACTGAGGCCAGTCGGGGAGTGGAAGGAACTGGGTTGGTGGGGGGAGCATGGGGACTGGAATATAGAAGCAGGAAATTGGAGCTACATGTGTTCGATGGCGAAGATCCGGATGGGTGGATTTTTAAGGTAGAAAGGTATTTCTCTATTAATCAGTTTGGGGAAGTGGAAAAGATGGAGGCCACGGTGGTGTGTGTGGAAGGTGAGGCCCTAGCGGGGTTCCAATGGGAGAAGAAGAGGAGGAAATTGTAGAACTGGGAGGAGCTTAAGCTGTCGATGCTGGAGAGGTTCCAACCATCTCAAGAGGGTACCCTGGAGGAGAAGTTTCTGGCACTTCGGCAAGAGGGTTCCTTGCGGGATTCCAAGCGACCCTTCGAGACATTCTCGGCACCTCTCGACGTTGTGTTTGAAGTTATCTTGGAAGGAAATTTCATTAGTGGGCTACAAGCAAAAATTTGGGCTGAAGTGAGGATGTTGAGGCCTAGGGGATTGGGCCAAATGATGGAAGTGGCCCAGCGCATAGAAGAAAGAAACAAGGTTATTAAGTTGGCCCAAGGAGGATTCATCCCAAATAGAGGTCAGGCATACAATCCCCAGCACTACCCTCTTCCAAATTCTTTAGGTATTTTTCCCCAAAAACACCCTCCTTTGTGAGATGTAAAGTTGCATCCACTGGGAAAATTGCCCAACCCACGCCTCCAACTTTCAAACGGTTAAGTGAGGCTGAACTATTGATAGAAAGGAGAAGGGTCTATGTTTTCGTTGTGACGAGAAATACACGGTTGGGAATAGATGCAAAAATAAAAAGTTGCAGGTGTTGATAATCCAAGATGAAGAAGGGCAGGAAACCATGGACGAAGAGCCAAATGAGGGTGGTGACAGCGAGAAGATGGAGTGTACTGAGTTTGGGGAGATGGTAGAACTATCAATGAATTAGGTGTTGGGACTAACCCCACCTCGAACAATGAAGGTAAGAGGAAAAATCGAAGGGCAAGCTGAAGTGGTTCTAATCGATTGCTGGGCTACACATAATTTTATTTCAATCGAGTTGGTGCAAAAATTGGGGCTACCTAGAACAGCCACAACCGGCTATGGAGTAATCATGGGGACAAGCCTCGCCGTTCAAGGTGCGGGAGTGTGTAAATGTGTGGTGCTATTACTTCAAAACTTGAGGTTTTCAAAGACTTCTTGCCTCTTGAATTGGGCAACTCGGATGTGATATTAAGAATGAAATGGTTGACCACCTTTGGCGGAACCCAGGTTAACTGGAAGGAGCTAACAATGAAGTTCAAAATGGGAGGCACATCCGTTAGATTGCATGGTGACCCCAGTCTAAGCAAAACGTTGGTCACTATGAAATCAATGATAAAGGCGTTAAGGGGAAAATGGAGAGGGGGTTTTGTTGGAGTTAGGGAGCATCACAGCTGAGGTTAATGAGTTATAGATTGAGATACTGGAGGCTCTAGAGCGGGTGCTAGCAAAATTTTCTAAGGTGTTCGAAGACCCTTAAAGCCTACCTCCGAGTCGCAGTAGGGATCGCTCTATTGTGTTGCAACTAGGGGTAGCACCAGTGAATGTAAGGCCCTACTGCTATTCGTATGTGCAGAAAAATGAGGTAGAGAGATTGGTTCGGGAGATGCTAGCAGTGGGTATAATAAGACTAAGCATGAGCCCTTTCTCCAGTCCGATATTATTGGTCAAGAGAAAGGATGGGAGTTGGCATTTTTGTGTAGACTACAGGGCGCTAAATTGAGTGACGGTGCCGGACAAATTCCCTATCCCAGTTATTGAGGAACTCCTTGATGAATTACATGGTGCAGCAATGTTTTCCAAACTGGATTTGAAGGCAGGGTATCACCAAATTCGGGTAAGGGAGGGAGATGTCCCGAAAACAACGTTCCAAACGCATGAAGGGCACTATGAGTTCCTCGTCACGCGTTTCGATCTGACAAGTGCCCCAGCCACTTTTCAATCACTTATGAATAAGGTTTTTAAATCTCAATTAAGGTAGTTTGTCTTGATTTTTTTTAATGATATTTTGGTCTATAGCCGCAGTATGGAAGAGCACTACATGCATCTAAAATGCGTGTTAACCTTGCTGGCTAAACATCAGTTGTATGCCAATAAAAGGAAATGTCAATTTGGACAGACTAAGATTGAATGGTTGGGCAACATCATCTCGGAGAAAGGGGTAGTTGCCGACCAAGCGAAAATTAAGGCGATGTGTGATTGGCCTAGTCCGCAGAATCTCAGAGATCTTCGTGGATTCTTGGGCTTACTGGGTACTATCGACGATTCGTGCAAGGATATGGGAAGCTAGCGTAGCCATTTAACCGAAAGGTTACGTATGGATAACTTTTATTCGGATGAGATAGCTGAGGCCTTGTTCCAAAGGTTGAAGGAAGCTATGGTTTCAGTGCCTGTGTTAGCATTACCAGATTTTAGCAAGTCGTTTATTGTGGAGACTAATGCTTCCGAGCATGGACTCGGGGCAGTTTTGATACAAGAACGTTCAATAGCTTATTTCAGCCATGCACTAAATCTTCACAGCTGTAGCAAGTCAGTGTATGAAAGGGAGTTGAAGTTTCTGATGGAACAGCGTATGGTCAATTCCGATTATAAAAAATGGTTGGTTAAACTGATGGGATATCACTTCGACATACAGTATTGGCCGGGCCTCGAAAACAAGGCAGCAAACGTGTTGTCAAGGATAAATTAAATTCTGCCGTTGAATTGATGGCGATAACAGTCCCGAAGATGCTATCGCTAGAAAGGCTGATAGAGGAGGTAAGGGCTGATTAAGGCTTAGGGAAAATTGTGGATGATATAGAGGCAAACCGAATATCCCACCCTGGGTATTCGATGTCGCATGGGCAATTGCTATTCAAAGGACGATTGGTGATTCCAGAAGGGTCTGCCTTGGTGCCTTTATTGATACACGAAGGCCACGACGGGAGTATTGGAGGGCACTTTGGGTTCCTAAAAACCTACATGCGTTTGGCGGTGGTGGACCGATTAAGCAAATATGCACATTTTGTGGGTTTGAAGCATCCCTTCACAGCTGGTGTCGTTGCAATTTCATTTATTAAAGAGGTGGTAAGCTTACATGGAGTGCCAAAGTCCATAGTGTCAGATCGTGATAAGGTTTTTATGAGTAACTTTTGGGAGGAGATATTTCGCCTGCACGGAACTAAACTCAATCGGAGCATCACTTACCACCCTCAATCGGATGGACAATCCGAAGTGGTGAATCGCACACTGGAGACTGGAGACGTATTTACGTTTTTTTTTGCTTCAACCATACCCAGAGCTTGGTGCAGTTGGCTTTCATGGTCAGAATTATGGTACAACACTTCGTATCATGTTTCCTCTAAATCCACACCATTTCAGATTGTTTGTGGAAGAGAACCTCCCGCATTGGTGTGATTTGAAAAGGGTTCAACCATAGAAAAACAATCATTGGAAAGAGAACAGGTTTTAGAGGAACTCAAAGAGCAATTACTTAGAGCACAGTCCAAAATGAAGATCAGTGTTGATGCTAAAAGGTGCGAAGTACACTTTGAGGTTGGTGACCAAGTACTTCTCAAGATTCAGCGCTATAGGCAAAAATTCCTGGCAGCTCGACCTAATGGGAAGCTGGCTTCAAGATTTTATGGGCCTTTTACGGTGGTATAGAAGGTAGGGTAGGTGGCTTACTGCCTGAATCTGCCTCCCACAGCTCACATCCACCTTGTGTTCCATATGTCCCAGCTAAGAAAGGCAGTGGGGGCGTTTCAAGCAGTGGAGGAATTACCCTCACAACTGAGTGAGGAGTTGGAATTGTCGGTGGAACCGGGGGCGGTGCTTGGGATAAGGCCAGGTACTGCGATTAATATCCGCGGCAATGACCTTCTGATTCAATGGAAGGGAATGCCTCCCTTGGAAGCAACTTGGGAACCCTATGACTTAATCAATCAACAGTTTCCCTCCTTTCACCTTGAGGACAAGGTGAAACTTCAAGGGAAGGGTAATGATAGACCACCAATTAAGGTGACATATGCAAGACACAACCAGGCGGGGCAGGGCAGGGGAGGGGAGGGCAGGGGCAGCAAGGATGTTAAAGCAGGGCAGCAATAAGAAATCACGTGAACTTCAAATGATCACAACCAACAGCATGTGCAGACCGTTAGTGGGAGAATTCTAGAAGATCAGCAGCAACTATAAGAAGCAAGAAAAGAGCAATAAAAGGCAGGAAGAATCTAGCAAACCTGAGGAGAGAATGAACCTCTCGAATAGCTCATATATCTTGTAATTTTTCTTTTTTCAGCTACAGTCGATTGTAATCAATCATTTGAATTCAATCAAATTTTCCCAGTACTGTTCTTCATTTAAGCCTCAATTTATCCTTCCCAGACTTCTTCCTATCAGACAACTGCTGACAATGCTGGTATTTCTGCACGTCTGTGAACATGTCCTCTGAACCCACTGTTGCCCTGAGATGTTCAGTGGACAAAGAGCCTACTTCTTTTGGGGTGTTGCAACATATGCTTGTCTTGGTTTATACTTGTAGACTTTCTTGTCCGTCAAGCAGCATCAGGCCATTTTGTTTGGGCCTGTGCATAATTAAATCCCGCTGTGAAGTGAAGATGTATTTCAAGGTGGGAAACATCCTGCAAAACTACATGTGGCAAATACCTCAGCCATCTTAGCCCGATCTAGTGAGAGCTCGTACGTGGAGGGGACTTATTATGTGCTGAAAAGAATTTTTTCTGAAGACGAACTTTTGAGAGCCATAAAAGGGGCTCAAGAATGATTTCTTTGGATCTTATCACCTGGGAAATTACTCTGGCCCCGCTCTATGTATATCACAAGCATAGAGGCCACCCATCCCTCCAATCCAGCCTTCCAAAACCTATCCATTAATATATAGAAAAAGAAAATCCACATAGTAGGCCGCATCTTTAATCTATTGCTCATGTTTGACCAACATAATCCCTTCATTTTTCTCTTTTAATGTGTTATTTCTTTTTCTTTGTTTTTATAACTGTTTCTACTATAAAATTATTCCATTACCTTTTCATGGTTAATCTGCAAAGCTTATTAAGCAAAATAGCTGAATGAAAGTGGTCTTTATGAGCTAAAAATGGAGGCACTTGAGAGGAAAATCAAGCCTAGTTGATTGAGTTCTGTTGGTTTGATTTGGTTTGGGGTGTCTTCCCTTTTGTTTCCAACATCAAATGCATGAAACGGTTGACATCAGGATATGTAATTTATCCTAATTGTACTTTTGTTTCTAGCTCATGTATTTATTTATTTATTGTTGCAAGTGTTAACCTATGTGAAAATGTATGAATATAGAGTAATGGATCAGAAATGGTCTCTGTTGATAGTACATACACACTTCATCTCTCAGGATAAAATTCTCAAGTCACTTCACACAGAAATATATATATTTTTTTGTCTTCATTTAGGAATTCAAAAGACATGCCAGGCTTGAAGTTTTTTCTGAACTCTAGTTAGCCTGCAAGTAATTTAGCTTTGGGTAATTAGGGAATAGGGACCATGTCGGGGTTATATTGGTACTTTTGAGAACATAGCCAAGCCTTGCAGATTGCTATCTAGACCCTGAATGGGTAGAGTTGAAATCTTATGGTCTGCTTAAATGATAATTCATCTGAGACTTGTTTGTTATGCTTACGTAACGACATAGCCTTTGAAGCCTTCCAGATTCGCTGTTGACTTGTATACTTCTAAAATCAGTATTTGTGAGCATGTGACCATTTTTTTTCTCTGGTTTATACTTCATACTCGATTCAATAACGAAGTAACTTATCATAGATATTTGTAAAATCAGTATTTGTAAGCAAATGGGAATAACTTATGTTTAGTTTGGTGCTTATATTTCTTATATTTGTGTGAGGATTTCGCAAGTAACAATTTTCTGTTTTTATTCAGGGTGCTGAACTTGCTGCAAAGGAAGGAAACAGTGCTGCAGCTTTGGCAGCTTGTAGGACATTGGCTGAAGAGCTCACTGAAATGAGATTTCCAGCTCCTAGAATTCTTGCATTTAAGGTACTCCATTTTTCTTTCTGGAAACACACTTCCATTTGAGCCCTGGATTCTCTTTGCAGTACTGGATTTTTTAAATTTTTTTATAAACCAAGATTCTGAGTGGTTCTGGTTTCCTACAGGAGGGAAGCTCTCAGGCTCGATATTTTGTTTCTCGACTGATACCAGCACACAAGGATCCCCCTTACGAGCAAGTATGTACTAATTAAGTTGCAATTTATTTGGAGCCTTTTTAGTTTGTTTATCCTAGAATTTAGTTTTCTGGAGTGAAATATAAAACTTGTCAATCATCATTAGAACATTCTCGTTTGTCTTGTGATAAAAAAAAACTCAAATGTTCTAACTTATGACTGCAGGAGGCAAGATTTCCTCAGCTTCGAACTTTGACTACAGAGCAGCGAACTAAACTAAAGAGTAATTTTATTCATTTTGATGATCCTAGCTTCTGTGAGTGGATGAGGAGCTTGAAAATATTGCCACCAGAACCAAGCTGAGAAATGCCGAAATCCTTTTCTTTTGATATACTCAATTTTTAATCGTTGCCCTTTTCGTAGATATTTGTAATTGAAGCTTTTCATACCATGTGGAACATAGATGCTTACCAGTTAATCATAATCTTTCTCGATCCAATTTTTTATGGCTTTTAATTGCTCTAAACGTGATACAAATGTGTATGGCCTCTGTCTCTCCCTATCCCTCCCCAGCCTTTTACATGCTTTTTGAAGGGCAATCTTCACGTTGAATATGATCCGACTGTATCCTGCCTCTTCAGTTTAGTGCTATCATTTGTTGTTGGGTAATCCTATGCATCGTGCAATTATTTCTGCATTTTGTATCTGATGCAGATTGGCAATTATCAAGATTTTGGATGGGATTGTAGTTAGATTCCTGCTTATTGATTGTAAAAGTTGTCTAGTGTCATTCAGTTACTCTTGCAGAGGTTGACATATTATTATTGTTATTTCTGCTTAAGATTCAATCAGTGATTCTGCTTAAGATTCAATCAGTGCTGATCACTCGACCCCGACCAAACAATATTTTCGTCGTTGCTATTATGTGCATGAAAGATTGCTCACATTTTTTTAGGTCAACAGCTTCCTGGACAGGGTTTGAGGTAAATTCTCTGAGTCTCCGTGTTCATGCAAATGCAGCACCTTTTGCTTGTAAATTGCTGTGATATATGCCTCTTTGTTCGTATACTGAAAATTGAATCTTCATCGATATTTTCTTTTAGTAAAACAAAAGTGACTTTGATTACTCATTGTTTGTGCTTCTACACAAACACAAGATTCCTTTACTTTGTGGAATACACGACTCATAACCCCATTTAATTCCTTCTACTCACAGCTAGATTCCGTAAGAAGTTGACCCATATTTAAATATGTGACCACATCAATTAATGAAGCATATTTTTATCATTTTATTTCTGTTTGTGTATAAAATGCATTCGTTTATGTGTTCGTAAAATTAATCGCGTGGATAAAAAATGAATAGTGTTTATAATTTTGAGTGGAAATTCAATCCCATTTTGTCTTTTATTTTTTTTGCATAATAAGCAGCCGGCCACTTATATGTTAGAATAGTGTCTGGCCATGCAATGCATGGCTTGAATTTTCTTGAAGGTGATATTATTGTGGTGACTTACTTGAGTATTGAGTATTTATGAGAGAGAATTATATTGAATGAATTTTTGGGAAGCAAAAAAAGTATTTAGTTGATTTTCTTCAATAAATAGAAAAAAATAATACATTTTCAGAGAGAATTTCTTTACTCTCTTTCTTCTTTTACATGAGAAACAGAAAATGGAGCTTTCTTAAAAAGAAAAATATATTAAAGCAATCTTTCTAAAAAAGAGAAAAAAAAATAAATATGACATGTAAAGTATCTATATTTTATTCATCATCAACCATAAAATATGAACTATAAAGCAAACAAAGCTAACACTATATTTTTATTTTCACATATGAGAAATAGGGAAGATGGGAAAATAAAGAGTTGAGCATTTGTAATAGAAGAGTATACAAGAAGTGATAATTGAAAGTAAACCACAACATCCATTATCCATAGATTGAATGTTTTACATATATAGTATTTAAACACTCAGTAATTCTAAAAAAGATTGATTGAAATAGATGTTGCCAATTTTTAATTTTTGGTTCATTTGATTCGGGAGGTAAAATCAATGGAACTTCTTCTAGTAGTGACTTTGATGAAAAATAATCCTTCATGTTGATGTCCTCCTGTTTCACTTAGAATTTTTATAATGTCTATCACTTTGCTTCTTCCCATCTAATAAGTTAAAACCATGTGGTGTTGTTGCATAAGTAATGGTAATTTCTGTTTAGTAAAAAAAATTCACAAGTAGAAACAAGTATGAAAGTCCAACCTTTTCATGGTTCCAATGCTGAATGAAGTGCCGGGCAATGTCTCTACAAGATGATCCTCAAAGAGTACAATGAACATTGTGTCGTGGTATATGAGGATATTTCTTTTGGTTGAATTCATCTTTCACAGCATTTTCCAAAAAATTTGGTTCCGGTTCTGTATAAAATTCAAAGGAGTTAATATATATATATATATATATATATATATATATATATATATATATATACACCATAGTGGACATCCTCCTAGAATACCTGCTACAAATTATAGTGATAAAGAAAGAAATTATATAGCTAGAGGAAAAGTTAGACCATTAGAACCTAAAATAGAATTCCAGACACCTCATAAACCACAATTATTAAATATTACAGCACATGATCCCCAGATGTGGAATAATACAATAGAAGTTTGGAAAAATACAAAATTGGCTTTTAGTTACTTACCTAGTAGGTCTATTTATGGGACGATGCTATGATTTCTCTATTTAAGATACGTTTTATATTCACTATCGAAATTTGTAGCATATGGTTCAAGAATCAATAAATTAAAAACAGATGTAGTATTGTGATTAAATCTATTAACCAATTGAAGTTTGACTATTGAGATGTTGACATAAAATATTTCATATATTCCAATTGATTGAAGTTTGTTATTAATTCTAAGTTTCAATAGTTGTCTATAGATCTTACACATTTTAATGAAAAAAAAAATATGTACCTTAGATTATAGTAGTTTTTTTAGGCTATAGAAAAGGAGGGAAATCACCTATTTTGTGCTCAGTTGTGTCATATTGGCCAAAGCATAAATTTAGTCCTTCAATAAAGCAGATGTTGCAATCCATAATGATAAGCTTTCCATGGTTCAACCTACATGTAGCAAATATTTTATAGTTAGTAATTCGAATAAAAAATAAGTACACAAAAATTTTAAATGTGTACATAAATAGGAATCTCCACTTAATCCCAAATGATTTTTTTTTTTTTTTTTTAGTTTATGAATAGCGTACCACAAGTCAAGTCCAGTTGAGAAATGGTTAGGATATCGTAAAACCTAACATTTTCATGAATGTGAAAAAGCATTCTTTTACTATATGAGCTGTTAATTTTTGAAGCACGAGAAAATTTCTTGGTTATGCTATTTTGGGCTTTGCTACAACCAATGAAGAATTGTCTTGATTATATGGATTATAACTATGAGAAATGACTAATAATAATTTTTATTGCAGTTGGATTAATTCAAATTACACATTCTTGAAGAATAAAGCTATTGTTATTCTAGATGATGAAGTACTTTGTAAATTTTTTTTTTTTTTAAAGTATTATACATTGAATAATATTTATTAGTTGCTGCTTTCATGACAAGCCACTTTATACGATGCAAAGTTACAAGTTGCACACAGCCTTATAATCTCTGAAATACTAACCCTATTTCAGGACCCCCCCTCTTTTGGTATCAGAGCTTATTACGGTACTGGTTATTTCAGAACACTTGCATACAGAAAGCAGTATATTACTAGAAAAGTCCTTCGCAATAGAGTCTATCTTTTTGGGTAGTTTCTCTCCATGTACTTAAGGAAAACAAATTATGAGAAATAAGCTTTACCACATTATTGCAGCATTATTCCAAAATAGAACTTTAAAGGAGAAAAATAATTAATACACTCAGTCATCCATTAGTCACAATCTTCATCATATTTTCCTCTGCCTCCGTGAACTTCTTTTGAGCATTTTTCATCACACTTTGAGCCTTAGCCAGTTCAGTCTTCACTGTAATTTTTGCATCGGATAATTTTACACGCATCTCATCAAAAAAATTTTCAATCTATCTAAGTTTATTAGAGTAGAAACTATGACAATGATCTTATAACATTATAAAAATAAAAGGAAAACCTTACAAAATAATACATTTTTTAGCAAATTCTGGCTCAATTCCAATAGCCTTTTTCAAATTATCTTTCTGCTTGGAGGGAGAGCTACTATCAACATTTCAAACGATTTCTTGCCATCTGCTAAAACAGATGCATGAGCAGTCTTTTTAAGTTTAAACTTCAATTCAATAGTAGTTTTAGCTTGTTCGTAGATGGAAACTTATTCATTTTCTAGAATGAGAAAACCTATGTGTTGTTGATGGTTATATGGCTATAAATAAAAAATAACTTATATAATGAAAACAGAATTTCAATAACAAACATGTAAGACATAAATAACGTGCACAGAGGCTTACCATATTTTTTATGTGAATAAATTCCTTAGCATTGATCATGCCCCAGTTTTCATAAACGAGCTGTGTTATTAGCTTAAATAAGTGAACAACATGAAAATGAAAATATAACAAAACTCTTACTATTGTTCTCTCCAGTAATAGTGATATGAAAATGCTACGTAGTGATTTTTTAACTGCATTCTAGAACTAATCTCGTGACTGAATAAATTTTTTTATTACATGACTATTGTGATTTACATATCTATGACAATTACTAAAAATTTATGAGAAGATTACCTCAAGAACCTGAATTGTCACTATCACAATGCAAATATTGCCATCAACATTTATTTTATGATGCCTAGCTTGCTCGAGTAATTACTGCATCTACTTAGTAGGATAGATCAAACAAAAATAAAATAACTTTTTCACTTGCCGTTAAAGCAAAGAAATCTAAACGAAAACTATAAATTTTATGAAAGATCATAGTAAAATTGTAAGGCAGAAGTGACTTGTATAATCAATCTCAAATGGACATTAACACCCATTTATTCTTCTTTAATTTATTCGAAGGGAAACATTTTCCTGAGAGAAAATAAAATATTATTTAAATTGCAAAGTCAAAAATTTATAATTAGTCATTTAACATTTCTTCTTATAGCTGCAAAAATAATAATAATAATAATAATAGTAGTAGTAGTAGTAGTAGTAGTAGTAGTAGTAGTAGTAGTAGTAGTAATTATTAACGATTAAATTAATTTTCAATTAAATAAATTCTAAGTATTTCTTCAATTAAGAAATAAATGGAAAAAAAATTAACGAAGCAATCTAACCTTTGGGCCAATCTGCCACAATTCTGCCTAAAGCATTCTTTTCACTAATCAACAATTTTGACAGAGAAAGAGGCATTGTTTCCTGTCTATGGTAACTCGCCCCATGTAAGGACTGCACAAATTTTTGAATGATCAGATTTTAATTCTGACGGCATTTCTTTCATCTAAATCCTTCATCTCTTTTAAACTCATCACTTCCAACATTTTCACCATTTATTTTCT